TTCTCTTTTGGGAAAGGAGTGGGGTTGAGATATGGAGAGAAATGGAGTAAGGGGAGCGGGGTGACAGAGGGAGAGGTTGGTGTGTTTTCAGCTGATCCACTTTCTCCCTGATGTTGGCTCTCATTTGTCTTGGCTGGAAACTGAGTACAAGGCTGGAATACTGATGACTGTTACTCCGCAGCCCCCTCCTCCATCTCCTCCTCTCTTTCTACCTCTCTCTCATCTTCACCCCCTTCCATTTATCCTCTCTACACATCTTCACGTTCTGTCTGCTCAACTGATTTCTTGCCTCCTGTCTCTCTCCTCCCCCTCTTTTACCCGCCTCATCTCGGCTCTCTCCCGATGCAGCTGCACTCCGCCGACCCAAATCTCCCTTCCACCCCTCCGCTCCTCTCCTTCTATCAATCTCTCCATCTGACCTCGCTCTACCTCTCCCGCTGCTCAGTCTATCACTTACCGGCTACATTATCCAGCTCCTTTCCTCCTCCCTCTTACCATTTTTTCACCCTGCGTCCCTACCCAATTTCCCCCCTCCCGCATCTTGCTTGTCTTTTCTACTTTGGCTTTCTGCTTGCTCTCATTTAGCGCCGGCCTCCCGTCCTCCTCGTTAGGTCTGCCTCCCGTCACTTTCCTGTTTCCATTTCTTTCTCTCCGTCTCTCTCCAGCTCGTGTGAATTAGTTCCTGGTCTATGTGGGTCACGGGGGTGATGGGACGTGAAATCAGAGGTGTGTATATGTGTGTGTTCCTATGACGGGGAGCGAGGGAGGCCGGCCGAGGGAAACCGGAAGGAGAGTTACAGGCAGAGAGACACAAAACAGACTCTGTGCAGCAGGTGACGTCCAGTCTGGTCTTGGAACATGCAGTGAAATGTGTCGGGCGGTTCTCACCTTTTTGTATGCAACCAACGTAATCCACATCAACTTGAGCGAGGACAGGCGACTTTGTGTCAAGAGCGACAAAGTCTTCAAAAGGAGAAGGTTTATGGTGGATGGGTGATTCTGAAAACACCGGACCTTCATCCAAGAGCCGCTGTTCCTGTCCTGTGTGAGGTTGACACTGACTGTAACTTCTGCACTTAGTAACGCCATGCCTGGGGTGTCTCGCCTTAGAATAATCAATGTTTATGTTCAGTGGTGTAGCAGGAACGATCATCTTATTTTGTCTCTAGTTTCTTTTAAGCAGGACCAGAGTCTTTCCCTACCTTAACCTTAACCAAGGCTTCTGTCTGCAAAAGTCGCATAAGATAAGACTAATATCAGCCTGTTGTCACATAATGTTGTTGTGGTGGAGGAATGTAATCTTCATATAATACAGGATTTTATTCGAGCATCGTCACTCAATACAAATCGTAATGATAATAATGAATACTTCACTCTGAAGATGTAAACACACCGTACGATTTGTACAGAAATAAGAAACAGTATATGCTTAGCTTATTTGTGGTAATTACATTCAGAATCTAATTATAGTTAGTGCCTTTTGACATGATTGTTGGCAAAACAGTGTAAACTATGACGTAAGTTGTTTTTTTAAACTTACATTTTTAAGTTAAAGTATGTAAACAGAATCTGTATTCTGCTGCAATGTGAGCTGCTCCTCTCCAGCATTACTGTGAGGTATATTCTGAATTCAAACGGATGTGAAGTGCATGGTGCATATATTGGAATTTCTTTGAATCTACCTCTGTGGTCCTTTCATATTGAGGACAATGAGAAGTGAAATGCATTTCATCCTCAATGTCACCTAAATTGCCTTCTTTCCACAGCCTGTGCTCCCCTGGCGACCAGGCTTTTTTTTTCGATGGCGCTCCTCTCTCTCTCTCGCTCTCTCTCTCTCTCTCTCTCTCTCTCTCTCTCTCTGCTCAATAAAAAAACGACATGATTTATGAAATATATCATCAGAGTTAGCACAGAGGTACAGAGGAGCAGAGCATCTCGCCCCACAACTGAGTGACTTCAATTCATCACTTGATGACCTGGGAACTGTGGTATTGGACCATGGAAGCAGCATTGTCCGTTGTTTGTTCTCTTTCATCTGAGCTTCTGGGCCGTGAACTGATTGGTCGATTGATTCCTTCATAGAGTGACTGATTGATTGAGTGAGTATGACCTGGTTGCCAGCTAAAGCTCGCTGTCACCAGCAGAAGAAAAGTCAAAAACAAAGCAAAGTTTACTTTCAACGTGACGTTAACTATCCGAGGAGATCTTTTAGCTTTACCCTGCAGGATGATCTGTTGTCGCTCTGATGAGGTTTGTCAGAGAGCTGTCTCTCAGCCTCTCCCTGAGTCTTCTTCCCTTCTCATTTGTCTGCACCAGCGCGAGGCAAAGAGCAACCATAAGGTTGGCTCTCTCGGAGCTCAGTTTTACAATCTTTAAATTTAATGAGCATCTGCAGTGGAGCAGTCGATGGCTTGCTGATGAGCAAGAACTCGCCTGTTTTGATCATCCGTTATCTGGAGGACTTCAAAGTTGGAAGTCTCTATAGATTTTCTGTCGGATGGAACGGCAGGAGTGGCAAGGACAGCTCTTTAAATGTCAAATCAAAGTATAAGTCACAGAAAGTAAGACCTTAACTTTGCATGAATGAAGTAAAACAGAAGGAGCTCATGAAGGCCAAGAGGTCGTGACAAACTGTGGGTGTCGATTCATAGAAGTCCAATAAACTGGCTTCAATTCTTGACTTTTTTTGCTGTGAATTAAACTTTCATTTCGAGTCAGCTTTCTCCTTGTATTGAACGCGCGGTAGGAGGTTCTGCTGCTCGTACAAATCTTATAATTTGTAAGATCTACCGTATCAAAAGTTGTATCCTTAGACTGTATGTACGTGGTTGTAGTCACCGTGGCGTCACCCATTCACACGTGGACTGCCGCTTTGGGCGTCGCCATCTTGTTTTGTTCAAACCAGAAGTGACACGAGAGGGTGGAGCTTAGTCCAACCAAACTCTGAATAAAACATTTTTGAAATGACCAAACAGGTCACAATTAACTTTCATGAACTGAAGACACACTGTGAAAGGGTTAAAGTTGTACGGTGAAAAAACAGAGGACTCCCAGACCTCCCAGACCCCGCGGAAGTGCCCTGTCAATCACAAGGTATCCCCACCCTAAAGCATACTCTGCTTTATTGTCAATTTTTCTCTAAATGCGACAATAATTTACTAAATGAACATCATGCTGAATTGAAGAAGACTTGAAACTAGCGATTGAGAACATAAACTCATATTTACAATGTTTACTGAGGTAATAAATCAAGAGAGAAGTAAAGTTATTTTCTCATAGTTTTCTGTACAATCAGACTTATTTTTGAAACCAACGGAGTCGATGGCCTTTAGAGAGAATGCAGGTTTAGGACACTTAACTTTTCAGACCCGGAGGTTGCCGCCAAAGCTTTGACTGAAGGTCCAATGCATTTTATTTGTGCACTCCATTAAAGCTGCGATAAAGCTGGAACAGAAAATAGACAAACGGACAGCAGGAAAATAAATTGCATTTCTGTTGGATTGTGATTGAGTGTTACATTAATTGGCAAACCTAAGCTAATTTAACACAAGAATATAACCTCAAATCCTTACAAACGGATAAATTCATTAAACGGACCTAGTTGCCAATTTCGACGGGTGCTATATATATATATATATATATATATATATATATATCAATCACACCTTCCCCGTTTAACATTATTTATTTCTGTGACTTACCGTATTGCCATTTTCCATTTTTTTTAAATGCGACTGAGCTCTCTTTCAAAACATGTACATCTGCGCTGAAAGGTGATAGCAAAATAAAAGCCATGGAACTAAATAACACAAACTGTACACGTTGGGCACAAACCACGCCATGTGTTTGGTCTTTTAACTTGTGTGACATATTGATTACCAGTGTTTGTACGGTTTCAATTATTTCCATTTTCACTCCTAAAACTTGGCATCTTAAATGCTTCTTCAGTTTTTCATGAATCCCCTATTTGTGCTTTTTTTCATAGCACTCTTTCACGCGTTAAGCCTGTTGGAGTGTGTTTGTAGAGGCTGTTTGGAGTGCAAAGCCTGATGTGTTTGTCACTTAATCTGGACAAATTCATTATCGGAGGAGTCTCAATCCTCCCACGCAACAGAAATATTCAGAAGACTAAAACAGAAAAAGAGGTCAGATTCATTTTCGAATGATTTCAATCAACCGAGGTAAACATTTTGTTTTCAATTTAGCTTTCAGCTTTTATGTTAGGACTGCATTCTTTTTTTGATCACCTAAGTCATCTTTATCTTTACTCCAAGGTGAGCCTTTGCTTTAATTTGGTTATATCTACATTTTCTTTCAAAAGAAATACACTAAAACAGAATTTTCTGCTTACCATCTGTGCTTCGCTGACATAAAAACAACAACAACTATAGCTCTGTGGCATCTGATGTCGCTCAAAGCAGCACAATGTTACATGTGAAAGTTTAAACTCTGACCCCTCTCTCCAAGAATATAGACACTGTTAATCACAGTAATCAGACTGTGTTGGAAACAGTGTCTTACTTCTGCACAGTGTCTTACTTCTGGGTGAACTATGCCTTTAACTAATGATGTTGGCATGCAGGTATAGCTGCCGGGCCTTGTGTCTTTATAAATATCAATCCTCTGTAGTGTCATTGATCTACATCTACTCATCCATTCTCTTGAAGATATATCGACTCCTTTTCTCCCTCCATCCCCCGCTCCCTCCCCACAACCCCTCCCTCCCCTCTTTTCCTCGGCTCCCATCTCTGTAATTCAGATTATTTTAATTCATATTTCATCCTTCGCTGTTTTATTCCAACTTGATCTATTATTCACGGCCGGCTTTAAAAATGTAACAGTGCGAAGGTCACTGATCCATGCTTGGTCCTTACTGGCTCATACAAGATACCATGTGCGTGCGTGCACGCACACACACACACACACACACACACACACACACACACACACACACAC